GTGTGCGCACGTGACAAATGAGGACATAAATTTGTATAATGACAAAGGTATGACTGGTATTACAAGGAGAAGGTGTGACTTTTCAGGACATTACCCCATGTCCCCACTTTTCAAAACGCTTATAAATCACACAGAATGGAGTGTACTTGCGTATGTCATGCTTTTCAGTGAGTCTCAGTAAGATCTGCTCTGTGTTCGGCTCATGTCTGAATAACAGCAGCTTCTCGCCGAGACCAACGACACTGCACTCCGGCGCCTTACACACACACACACACACACACACGCACACGCACACACACACACGCACACACACACACATATACAATACACACAGAGTAATTATTATAAAAATTAGAGAAAACTAAGCACAACAATATGTAAACATTATTTAAAATATCATAATGCAAGAAAAGTAATACCAAACGTTGTCATAGAAAGTAAGCAAAAAATATATTATAAACATTAAATAATAATTATAAATATTGTAATATATTTATTAACAATATAATTTATAATAAACAAAATAAATAAAAATAGAAAATAACAATAAAAATACTGTTAAACATAATAATGCAACAAAAGTAATACAAAAAAACATGTTAAAAATTAAGCAATGAAATAACAAATAAATATTTAAAAATAATATAACTCATATCATGAATAATAAATATTAAATATGGTAAATAGATGAATACAATTATCATGAAACAATAAAATAATGTTAATGCAACAAATGTAATATCAATCTTCATGACAAAAAAAATTAAAAATACAACAACAAAACAACTGAATAAATAAAATCATAACACAAAAATACTGTGCTAAGCATCATAATGCAACTAAATTAATACCAAACATCACGTCACTGAAACTAAGCAATAAATTAAATAAATAGCACAATAAAATACTGTGTTAAAATGCAACAAAAGTAATGCAAAACATCAAGTCATAGAAACTAGGCAATGAACAAAATAATAACCTAGATTACCAATAACCTAGACTTCTAGTCTTGAATAAAGACGGACACTTCTGCAACCTCATTTATTTTAAATAAAATTAAAACATTTTTAATGCATTTATGAACCTTTAAATCAAGTTGGTTTTAGTACTATATTTGTAAAAAAAAAAACAGAAATTTGGCCCTTAACAATATAGCGAACTCCTGCACCATCTCACATGGAGACTTGAGAAAAGCTTCTCAAACACACACAGTGTGAGCAGACCACTGATTACAGAAACCCTTCATCATGTCTGTTCTCTTCTACCGTGCATTTCTTCAGATCATCTAATATAATCACAACCGCACACTCACACAGACACATGCTGGGCATGAACACTACTTTAAGAAGCATGCAAGTTCAGTCGGAGGCAGAAGCCGCAGATCTAATCAGGATCAGCATCTTCAGATGAGGCTGAAAGTGGGTGAGATGATGATGGCACTGCAGCGGCTGAACCACTGCGTAACTGATGGCTCTTAATGGCAATCATTCGCTTTTCAAATCCAACGGATGTGAGTCAAACTGAGACTCTCCTCAATAACTCACACCTGATACTCAAGGTCTCTTAACTCTGAACATAAACCGTGTGAATTGCACGTACTAACTGACCAGCAAAATCACAGAGTGCTTAAATAGTGGCGATATAAATTGTAGGGCCCTATGAAATCTGTTTTTTTTGTGGGTGTGTGTGTGTTTTAATTTTTCTAGACTCTATTTTAATGGTTAAATTAAATTGTATTCATCAAAAGACCTAATTAATTAAAATAATAAAACTTACAATATTATACAGCAATTTTTGCAAAGTTTAACAAAACAAAAATTTTTAAGGCCTTATGAAATATGTCCCCCCCCCCCCTCAAATTCAGTTTTATTATTACCAAATTCTGTTTTACATTAATTTTCTGGATTCCATCTTTAATTGGTTTTATTACATTTTAATAATCAAAGCATCTCTAATTGAAGCACAGCAGTATTTTACTGAAGCTCATGCCCTAGAAAAAAAAGGGTGTAACGAAACCCTGGTTCACAGTTAGCAACTACATCCTATTTTCAGGCCAAAACCTTTTATAAAAATAGATATGATGAACATTTTTTTTTCCTCACAAAAATTAGCATGAAACCAAAAAATAATTGGGTACCATCAGTACCATCAGTCCCCTAAACATCATTTGCCAAAATGTGCAATTTTACAACCAGAGCACACCCCACACAACTGCATGCCACTTGCCTTGACCTTACATTTGCAATGAACCGCTAGCGATAAATAAACCACGCTTTATTTATTTCCCCTTGATTATGTGATCGGATATAAGATGCTTTTATAAAAACAAAAATAGAAGGAAATGCAACATGTTTAAAACATATTTCAAATAACCATTTTCATATAACCGCATTTCTGAGATAAATGAAATAAGACATGCAATGTAATGAGGTCATGTAAAATATATCTTGTACTAGTAACATTTATCGTTGCATACGACTTATAGAAAATAGCTGGAACTGTAACGTATGCAGTAAGCATATGTGCGTATACGTGCATGCCTCTAATGTATATGAATGACGTAAGGTGAGATCGGTGAGCATTCATGTGTGTGCACATGGTTCAATGAAGGTCAGTGTGTGTGTGTGTGTGTGTGAGATGATCCTGTCCCACTGCAGTGGAAATGGCACCATAAGAAGGTCAAGCAGAGAAATAGGTGTGTGTGTGTGTGTGTTAGGGGAAGAGTCTGTGGTTGGAAAGTTACATGCACATGCTGTGAACCACAGCGGACAAACAGAGAGGTGTGTGTGTGTGTGTGTGTGAGAGAATGTGAGTAGCACCTAATTCAGTCGCATCTTCACACACACACACACACACTCTTTAACTTCCCCTGATTTCACAAACACAGAGGTGAGAATTCTTCAAATTATTTTTTAAAAAGATTTAGAAAAAACTGCTCACAAAGGACAAAACGATAAGATAAGCATTACTGTTGATCATACTGTTGTGCACAGCAACAGCCTAGCAACCACCTAAAAACCCTGATAACACGTAACACATAACAGTCCATATTCATGGACTTCACAATCTGTTGAAAGGTAAACTCAGACCGCATTTTCATTTTTAGGCACCTGTTGTGAACCAATCATTGTTCAAACCGCTAACGAAGAAATCAACAATGGTTTTTTTACGCACTATAAGGCAAAAGATGCAGTACGTTTGATGAATCTGTGGGTCCTGCTAACGTTCCTCTTTAAAACTGAAAGGCTGAAGGCAATGAAAAGGTGCTTTTGTTGTTGTTGGAGAGAGAGAGAGACAATAGTCCAGTCGGCTGTGTGTCGCAGAGGTTTGTATGGATCGTCTTTGCGCGCTCGACCTTTTGGCTGTGGAAAGCAGCCTTCACTGAAGTCATTGTCAGTAATGCGGTTATTAGAGTGGGTGTTTGACTGACACTGCATGAACGCATGAACACGTACAGGAATAGTTTACCAAATATGGAAATTATGTCATCATTTATCCAAACTAACTAAATTGAAATGGAATATGATATAAAACGTAGCTCTTAAATCTCAGTAACATTCAATCAAGGAGTATCAGAACGTGTTGCAACAGATTTAGTGACGTGTCTTGATGGTTGTTATTATCAACATTCAATGCTATTGTATCGTATTGTCTTGTGTTATAATCAGTGCTGGGTAGTAACTGATTACAAATTACAGATTACAAAATTAGGTACTTGTAATTAGAGACTATTACATTTTAAAATTCTCATAATCGGATTACAGTTACTTTTTCATAGATTACATGATTACATACTGTAATGTCATTGCCGTTTTATTGTTGTTCAGGTAACGCAGGGACTCCCAAACGTTTTTGCCAGCTAAACCCCTTTGTTATAAAATGAAACTCTCTGACACAACAACACATTTGCATGTTGACAGTTCTCTGATGTTGTTCAATAGTCACATTGACATGCAGGTACACAAATAAAATAAATGTTCACATTTTTAAATTATTTTATTTTACAATTTTATGATTTAATTATTAACTCACAAACACACACCCAAAAGTCTAAAAAAGTAGTCCGAAAACATGAGTAGCCTAACCTAGATTTCGATACTAACTACAATTTTCATCATGTAATCTGTAATCAGTATTGGATTATGAACATTTTTTTTTCCTCACAAAAATTAGCATGAAACCAAAAAATAATTGGGTACCATCAGTACCATCAGTCCCCTAAACATCATTTGCCAAAATGTGCAATTTTACAACCAGAGCACACCCCACACAACTGCATGCCACTTGCCTTGACCTTACATTTGCAATGAACCGCTAGCGATA